TTCTCCCGCTGTCATAAACGTAACAATCTCAGAAAATGTAAACAGTACCTGATGTAAGGAACCGCAAGGAAACGATTTCCACAACCAATGCAAATTACAGAGAAAGCGGGCATCAATAAGAAAACAGAATGAACATTAGATACCTTGCTATCTTAACTTGTTCTGAAACAACTCTGAAAGCATATTTCCACCAAGATCTTGCATCGATTTTTACTGAAACAGATGGGCGGTAGTGGGCATATTTCAAACGCTGATTAAACGCTGCAAAATTATCAGCAAGTTTCATGACATCCCTGTATCCTCCCTAAATACCAAAAAAAACACAACATCAAGACCACCGGGGACAGCCAAAAATAAAATAGAGCAGAAGCCTCATATATTTTTCTTAACCTTTGATAAACAAAGTGTCACATCATCTAAGTTAACATATGCCTTCTGCAAAGGTTGAGCAGCATTGGAAGATCCATTTGCTTGAGACTTAGAGTACTTTGCATTCCCTGAGACAGGTTGCAGAATATAGAAATGCTTTCTCGAGAGGCTTTCAGCTGGCTTACCATCCTTTGTGCCAAATCTAAAAATCTATAAGTTTACATGCACCGGTAAGAGACAATAATCGTGATAAATTATGTTCCACTATATACATGACTTTGCTGTCGATACCTGATCCCACTCAAAAGGAAGTAAATCCTCCCATGGTTTGTCAATATGCCACGGAGACATGTCAGAATCAAGATAGAATGCAAGCCGATCAAGTTCAACAGACTGCAACAACAAAAAAGGGCAAAAGCAAACATAATTATAACAGAAAACATAAAATGTAAAGTATCTTTGGTTTGTTTCTTGGCATGGGTATTACTTTCCCAATGCAATCAATCCATATGATAATTCCAGACAAAAGTCTGCTATATATAACTAATCCTTCTGGAGAGCACCCAAAGTCTTTCTTTTTTTTCAGGTGCTTCTTACTATGCGCACATAAACTTTAACTTCTTGAACTAGATTATAATTAAAAAAAACTAACAAGCTACTTGCTGCAAGCAAGCAGAAGTGCACGAGATCTTAGCACAAAAACCCCCAAAAAATATACAATGTAATCCATACGACCAGAAAAGCTTGTGCCAGCCAGAAATTGATGGACAAATATATACCTTTTGAATGGAAGCCAGAGTTCCGCCAGTAACAAAAGTCTCCTTTCCATTCTCATCAACAGTTACAGCTAAGAGTTTCTCTAGTGTAACACCAGCTGAGAACGGGTGGCCTGGATTGCTGCACTTATAACATAGCTTTAAATCATACAAATGGGTAGACAATCAAGAGCAAGAAAAATGATTCGACAATAAACTACTTACCTCTCTAGATCTTCGTATCTTATGTGAATATTTGAAATTGAGAGCTTCAAGTTTCCCATGACGGTGTCGACCAATGATCCCATCCATGATTTGTTCTTTAAAGAGAATCAGAAAATATGGTTGTTAGTATAGAACAATATTTCTCCCAACATTATTTACTTTGAATGAGTAGCACTAGCCACACCATTTCCGTATGTAGTCGACGAGCTTTTTCTACTAGTTTCGTTTCCATTTCCTGTATATTGCAAACAGAAAAGTGATTCAATAACTCAAATTAGATCATGGAAAATGACCATAACATGAGCGACCTATCTCACCCGTATTAGCTTTCTTTTTTTCTCCTGGATAGAATCCTCACTACATCCTTCGACATCGGTTGCGGGTTCGGCTAATACATAAATTCGGTCAAGATAAACCACTACAGGTTCCTGGCCAAGCCTGCTCCACGGTACCTAAATGATGATTATGAAACGTATCAAGAAATGAGTCTACCTGAGTGTAGAAATCTTTACACTAGGTAGGAAGGAAAACTCATCGAAGAGATCCATGCCCAGAAAAAAAAGTTAATATCAAGCCCCAAAAAGTATATAATGTATGATCCTGCGTCACTGATAGAGACTATGCCAACAAGTGAAATACTATTTGTAATTGTAACAATGAGGTAGAAAAGAGAATAGACACGACAGACAAAAAACACACAACAAACCTTGAGTTTCACTGATCCAAGAAATCCAGCTTTAACCTTGACAGGTAATTTCAAAGCATTAAGTGCTTCTGGTTTTAGCTGCATATTTTTCAGCTCTACATCTCCTGCGAAATTAAGTTAAACCAAGAGCTATATTAACAAACGAAAAAATTAAAAGCAATTTCATCTACAGGGATACACTAAATCCTTCATTTTCATTCAGTCCATCTGTTCTTAGTTGCAACTTGGAGAACCAACTAAGCAATTACGAAGTGAACAATCAGCATAGACCAGCGATATTCTCGATCATTTTAAATCATTTCCGCCTTACTAAACACCCAAGAGATGCAGAAAACAACACACAAACCCTGAATCTTACTCCCAACCGTCTGCCAAAACCCAGAAATGTGACTATTGACTTTACCGTTCGATAGCTACACGAATACAACTCAATTCCATTAAACCAATATCCGAGTGAAGCTCGAAACTATGTTCATCCAACTACAACGCAGTTCCCACATTCGCTTACTGAATATCACAGGGTAACATAACACAAATTCAACGAGAAATTAAGAGAAAAACAAAAAAAAAAAAACATCTCACCTTGCCAGACACTGATCTTAAGGGCTTCCTTATTCAATCCCCTCACGTAGTTCCCCAAGTACCTCTGTAACAAGTACGCTACCTGATCTTCCAACATCTTATAATTCTGCAAATCAAAAACCTCACAAGTAAACGTGGAAAACAACGGGAAAATCAAGTAATTCGAGACGATGTGTGATTATAGAAGAATATCGTGGAATGAAATTGGTAGGGTTCGAATTCGATCGGAGTAGAAGCGGATTCAAAAGAGAGACATGAGGATCGTTTCCTCAAGAACACGCTAGGCGCAGTTGGAATTGTGAATTAGTCATGACTTGGGGGAGTTACGCCTCACTAAGAGGAATATTAAAATATCCTCTCTGCTCTTTGGCGGTGCTATTTATCAATTGTCGACGATGGACATAAATATCTAAACATAACCAAATTTAACTCAAAAATACACCGAATTTCAAAATTGAAATGGTAGAAGATTATTTACACCAAACCAATCAAACCGCACACGATTTATGTGAGACTAAACCGAGAAAACTGAATAAATATAAATTGTATTAAAACTTACTATTTTTAATTAGCTATACAAAACTATATTTGAATTTACTGTAATTTTTTTCCTTTTACATTATTTGATCTAACGGAACCAAAATAAAATATGGTTTAGTTGGGAACCGAAAATCCAAACCAAACAAAATAAAACAGGGGAAATTTTAAAACTACACAAAATGTTGTGTGTCAATTTTCAAAATTATACCTCTAAAAGTGTTTTTTTTTGTCAACAACTACTTTCATTAAAACTTAATTTGCCAACTTACACCAAACAGAGGGAATTAGCCATACCACTAAAGTGTTTATTTTCAAAATTACACTTCTTCATTGAGTAAAATAATTATAAACTCTAAAATATAAATCCTAAAATCTAACATTGATTTTTTAAATTTTAACCCTAAACTCTAAAATCTAAACTTTAGTTAAGGATTAGTGAACTCAAACTTATATAATAAGATTATAAAAAGTATAGTTTTGAAAATTATATTAATGAAGGAAAATTCCAAAACTACACATTTTTGTACATTTTCAAAACTACATCTAAAGTCTAAACCCTAAACCTTAATCTTAAAACTTTAAATCTAAATCCTAAACCTCAAAATCTAACTATAGTCATTGATTAGGAAACTCTAAACCTCAAAAATTATAAAAAGTATAGTTGAAATTGACACTTCATGTAAAAATTTCTCATTGAAGATCACAAAAGACACAAACATATGTGTGTGATTTGGGAATATATGTAAATGCATGATGCTCATGATTAATATTACATGGAGCTGTTGATATAGCAACTCTATAGTGAGGTAAAACCGTAAAAGTAAGGTTTTAGATCAATTTGTCGAGGGACTTGTGTCTAGTGGTCTCACACACATGTTCTTGGGTGTACACGCAATGTTTTAAAGTTAATTGAGATTAAAGACCTTCAAATTTAATAAAATGTTTATTCGGGCCTTTTCAGGTCTTTTGCACTCTCTCTTGCGCCAATCTCAACCACCATTTATGTGGTTACTTGCATAATCTTTCAATTAATTATACATGGTCATTTTGCATGATCTTTAAATTTAATTATCTATAAACGTTACGATTAATATAAATTGGATTTGTTTTGAATTATTTCACCCGGACTTTTTGATATTTTTAAGACAGGAAATGCAGGTGGTCCATTCACTATCAGTTAGTGAGCTGGAGAGGAAAGGAGAAGTAAAACTCAGGACGACCTTTTCCCTAAATAATTAGTAAGCTTTACAGGTCAATATTTTATCAATTATCATCACTATGCGCTGGAGACGAAAGGAGCAGCAAGCTCACTCACAATGGCAATGACCAGAAGGACCTGTGTTCGAACCTTGAGAGAAACATATTAAAAATTGTTTCTTGTTTTCTCGAGTATCCAACATCTTGAGATCTGAAATCTGTGCTTCTATTTCTACCTTTTTTTATTTTCTTCTCAAAAGGTGCGGCTTTTATTAGTTTTCCTTTTTCCTTCCCCTCGGTTTTCTAGTTCAAGATCTGGCATAAAAGTTTTCTTCTTTCTTTTAATATAATATAAGCTTTCTTCTTTCTTTTCCTTTTTATCCCTTTTGTTTCAGCTGCCGTAGTAGGTTAATTTTGGGTGGCCTTACCTGCTTTTCAGCAAAAAGCTGGAAATTGCTTCTGTCTTTTGGGATCTGCATTTCAGAGATTGTATGGGAAATGGGACTCTCGCAAGCATGATACTTTTGCTGTCACTTGTATAATCTGTTACTGAAGAAGGAAGGAAAGAAGGAAGCAATGTGTGTGGTAGAACTCATGGTGTAGGAGGCAGAGTAGTTACTAGCTTCATGAGTTCACTGATACTTGGAGGAATCAAGATGATTGACCAGTTCATCAACTTTGTAATTCGCCCTCCTAGGTTACTTCTTCTCCAGTCTCTTTTGCTTCTCTCAAGTCTTAACCTTTTTGCATTCAATTGATAGCTGTTGGGGTTTTTTTTTTTTTTTTTTTTTTGACAGGGCTGAGTATGATCCTGACCAATATTTGTGGGAGAAGGATTTTAGCATCGGTGGCACAAAGTGTAAAAGACAAGACTTGGAGGCAAGTATGGGCATCAAATGATTGAGATTACTCCTTTTTTTTCTTTTCTTACTGTCCTCTTCAGTGTTAGTTAAACTTAATCCTTACAGGTTCTCATTTCTTTCTTTCTCTAAAGTAGCTTACAAATTCAAGGGGTCACACATTGCGTTGCAGTCACTACATTCCCTCATTTTCGTTGGAGGATACTTCTCTCCCCTGTGTTATATACTGTCATGGTAATAGGTACATAGCAACCTTGAACTCTCCTCTTCTGGGAGGAACTCAGATCTTGTTTATGACTAGTTTCATATACATAACTACTTAATTCGCTTGTTCTGGGATCTGATCAGTGGATGTAGGGCAGATGCAAATGAGGCAGTTATGGTTCTTCTGCCATCTAACATTACTGTTTTCACCCTTGATTTCTCGGGTTCTGGCTTATCTGATGGTGATTATGTAAGCCTTGGTTGGCATGAGGTGTGTTTCCTTGTCTTACTTTCACAAGCTTTTCTTCTCTTCTCTTCTCTTCACATCTTTATCTAACTTTTTTCTTATTAAACTTAAGCTAGAAAGACGATCTCAAGACTGTGGTATCTTACCTGAGAAGCAGCAATCAGGTGTCTCGTATTGGACTTTGGGGACGATCTATGGGTGCGGTTACCAGGTTACTTCTTGATCTAGTTCTCAGTCACACTTAAAGAGTTGTACTAGTAGTTGTGTTGACTATAGATTCCTCAGCCTTCTTAAGGTCTATGATCTGAAATTCCTCTGCTGCTCTAACGAAGTAGAGAGTAAAATGTGCAGCCTTCTGTATGGAGCAGAAGATCCGTCAATTGCTGGAATGGTCTTAGACAGTGCTTTCTCAAACTTATTTGATCTGATGATGGAACTAGTGGATGTCTACAAAATCCGACTTCCGAAATTCACAGTATGCCATGCTCTCTTTTTCCTCAACATATATTCTTCATAGCAATATGGACTAGCTAGCTGAACCCGGACACTTAGCTACTAAAACATGAAGCATGAGTTTTGATTCATCACTTGGGCTGTACAAGAATCAATTCTACTGTTCTCCTGCTCATGTAGTAACAATTGCTACACATATCTATTGATAATTATAAAAAGTGGAAAAACTATCAATGAGAAGTTTATTATGCTTGCAGTGAAACTCTATCTTCTTTTTCGTTCAGGTTAAAATGGCTGTGCAGTACATGCGGCGAGTAATTCAGAAAAAGGCAAAGTTTAATATCATGGATCTCAATTGTCTTAAGGTGTTATATAGTCACCTTTCCCTATATTTTTTTTGGAGATTTGCTCCAAGTCATCTATCTTGTAGGTCACCATTTTAGTGAAGTTTTCGAATTTTGCCGCAGGTTTCATCAAAAACTTTTATTCCAGCTTTATTTGGGCATGCAAGTGGAGACAAATTCATTCAACCTCATCACTCTGACCTCATTCTCAAGTGCTATGTGGTAGGACATAATTTCGAATTTTCTTTTCTTGTCCAGGCATATATCAATGCTTCTTCTTTATGATGCTGAAATCTTATGGTAACTCTGCAGGGAGACAAAAACATCATCAAGTTTGATGGTGATCACAATTCTTCACGGCCGCAGTTTTATTACGATTCGGTGTTAATATTCTTCTACAATGTTCTACGTCCACCTCAAAGTTCTTCAGCTTGCTCATCTAAACTTGAAAGTTATTACAATTTGGGAGATATTGATAGTGCTGCTGCTTTGGACGAGGTAATTTGCACTCCAAAGGTCAACATACAACAGAAAGATCTTGCCTAAACATGCTTGCACAAGAATCTAACTGCTTGGTTTTACCTTGTACTGTCAGAGTTTTCTGTATGAGATCATCTCTGGTCTTCGTTCGGCATGTATCGATGTTGGAAGTTCGTCGTCTGCACCTCCTGCCTCTCTAATGACAAAGCCAACGAATGAGCTCCTTTCAGAAGCCACCATGCCCATAACAGATACTGTATAACTATTGTCTTTCTTGCATGAATTTTATTTTGAGTTGCTTGGATTATTCCTTTTAATAATCATTCATTAATGAAACAGGATGAGGTTCTTGAAGAAAATAATGATCACAACATGGATGAGGTAATTTGGAAAACCCATAATACATGGTGAAGTTGGAGATTCTTTTTATGTTGCCTTACGAGCCTTGGTGTATATATATATATATATATATTTGGCAGGGGAAGCTTATTGATCAGTTTGAAGAAGGCTGTTCGTTTACAAGCTCAAACAGGGAAAGCTGGGGCAGATGCTCTTCACTAGGAGGCACTGAGGAAGATGAGAGCTTGACAACGACGGGCGAGGTTGATCAGGTTGATGTTCTTCTAAAACCGTTTGATGAGACAAGTTGATGTTTGGTGAGATGAGGTTTTCGTTTCTGATCCATGCCTTTACAGGTCGAGAAAACTGCTGTTATAAACGCAGAACCAAAGCCAACAGACTCTACTAAAGAAGAAGAAGAGAGGAAGGAAAAGAGAATAGAGAAAGGAGGTGAAAGAGATGCAAAGAAGCCTAGACGTGAGAAACTGGAAAGGCTAGAGGCCTTTAGCAAAAGACTGCGGCTTTGCATCATAAAGCGAGTTAACCATGGAAGACATCATCGTTCGCAACCCTGACCAAAACAAGTTTAAAATATATATATATATATATATATATTGTATTTGTTGTATATCTTCTCCTCGTTAACATGGGCAAATAGAGCCACACGCACCATTTTCTCTGTTAACTAACCTCCATCATACACTCACTGCTACTGTTGTTTCGATAGTCATGTACTCATGTAAATGGGCCACATTCCAACATCCATCCTTGGATACGCAAAAAAAAAAAACACATCTTGATCATAGATAAATGAATAGGCATATACGTATTGTCAATCCTTTCTGAAATCCACAACACAGTCACCAAATCGAAAACGCCAAAACGATTTACAGCTATAGAAAGAAGCAGAGAGATTTATGCGTAGATAAAAAAACGTCTCTATTTTTTCTCTTTAAATAAATATCTTTTTTCACCAACCTGTATTTGTCGCTCAATGCAAAATTTCTGGCGTTTCGGTATTTAGTAGTAGCACTGCGTGACGTTTGGCTTCAATAAAACACAGCACGCAGTCTCTTCACGAAAAATTTCTTATCTCTTCTCCAGGCATGAACAGAGCAGCTCAGTGAAAAAAAGATGGGAAGCGGTGTTGCTCTCTTTACCCTCTCCCTTCTCCTGGTGACGCATCAGGCGCATTCTACAATCGGCGTGAACTGGGGAACGATCTCGCTTCACAAGCTGAGACCTTCGACGGTGGTGGATCTCCTCAAGGCAAACAAGATCACCAAAGTAAAGCTCTTCGATGCCAATCCAGATGCGCTTCGAGCTCTAATGGGTACTGGAATCCAAGTTATGATCGGCATTCCCAACGATATGCTCTCCACTTTCAGTTCTGATCTCTTTGTCCAGCAGAATATCTCTCGCTTCATGGGCAAAGGCGGCGCTGATATCAGGTACCAAGTCTGAGTCTTTCTATGCTCTTTGGCCGGAGAGGATTCACCAATTTTCCCGATTGCATCTTGTAAATTCGGTCACAGGTATGTCGCAGTAGGGAATGAGCCGTTTTTGACGGGTTACGGTGGGCAGTTTCAGAGCTATGTTGTCCCAGCTATGCTTAACCTGCAACAATCCTTGGTTAAAGCAAATCTAGCTAGCTATGTGAATGTTGTGGTTCCTTGCAACGCAGACGCGTATGAGTCTAATGTACCCTCCCAAGGGATCTTCAGGCCTGAGCTCACACAGATCATGACTCAACTGGTTTCGTTCCTCAACTCCAATGGCTCTCCTTTCGTTGTCAATATCTATCCTTTCCTTAGTCTCTACGGGAACTCTGATTTCCCGCAAGACTATGCGTTTTTCCAAGGAAGTAGCCATCCTGTTCTCGATGGCCCTAACGCCTACTATAATGCCTTGGATGGCAACTTTGACACTCTTGTTGCTGCTCTCACCAAGCTTGGATATGGTCAAATGCCTATAGTTATTGGTGAGATTGGTTGGCCTACAGATGGAGCAGTTGGTGCTAACCTCACGGCAGCGCGGGTTTTCAACCAAGGGCTCGTTAACCATTTGTTGAGCAACAAAGGAACACCGCTCAGGCCTGGCTCCCCTCCTGAGGATGTCTATCTTTTCGGTTTGCTTGACGAAGGAGCCAAGAGCACACTGCCTGGTAACTTTGAGAGGCACTGGGGAATCTTCTCCTTCGATGGACAGGCCAAGTACCGTCTCAACTTAGGACTAGGCAACAGAGAGCTCAAGAATGCCAAAAATGTGCACTACCTCCCTTCCAGGTGGTGTGTGGCTCACCCATCAAGGGACATGGCCCAAGTCGCAGACCACTTGAGGCTTGCTTGCAGTCAAGCAGATTGCACGACGCTCAACGACGGTGGCTCCTGCAGCCAGCTTGGTGAAAAGGAGAATATCTCGTACGCTTTCAACAGCTATTATCAGCTGCAGCTGCAGCACGAAAAGAGCTGCGACTTTGACGGACTTGGCATGGTCACCTTCCTTGATCCTTCAGTTGGGGACTGTAGATTTCTTGTGGGCGTTACAGATAAAGACTTGTCCTCTCGTGCTGAGCCAATGGTCAGGTGGTCTATCTACCACGTTTGCATTGGAGTGGTGGTATGGGCTCTCACAAGGTAAAGAATTGTTACCTTTTTATGAGCAAATATATTAGATAGAGGATGAAGATAGTTTATATATATATGTGTGTGTGTGTAATATATATAGAGGGGTCAGAGTTAGTTTGTTGTATCTCTGCAGTATCTTCTTGGGGTCTATATTTAAGAATGGGTAATCTCTCTTTCATCTGTCACACGTGTTCCTGAAGATTTAGGTGATGTAAGCTACAACAGCTTCTTGTTAGTTCCCCAACGATGGTCCCTTCTTTAACACGGGACCAAGTGTATCAGTAACCAGATTCCTTATAACTCTATTTCGATTTAGCAAGATGATGTCATGTTCATTCTCGGAATAAAGGTTGTGGATTCTTTTTCAGACTCTTAGGGATTGCCCTGAAGCAATATCACTAGAGATTAATTTTCACTAAATTCTCTATTCTAAATTTCTATTCCTCCCTCATGCATATCAAAAATCCACAACGCAGTCACCAATTCGAAAACTCGAAAAGTATTTACAACTATAGAAAGAGGCAGAGAGATTTATGCATATCTTAGCTGATGATATATGTGATTTTTTTTACCTGATGATATAGACACCATTCACATCTTAGCTGCAGCATCCTCCTCCTTTCGATGCCGATCCGTCTCTTCCACCTGATGGCCCTGGAATTCCTCCATATCCAACTTTAATTCCATACGACTCATTTGACACATCAAACACACCATCTTGAATCTTTTTGTTTATTGTGGCCGCTGTCTTGATGAATGCCTAGCAAAAATTACAAAAACACAGCACCCAACGAAATCATCATGTGTGAATTGGCACAAAAGTAGGAATAGTTCTGTAGAATGGGCATTGGCTCTTCTCCCTTAACATTTGAATAAGCAAACCCCAAATCTACTTGTTCCTCTTTATGGCCTCTGAATGTTACTAGAGACAACATGCAAAATTGGAAGGCATGAGGGTTTACCTCCTCGACATTCTGATTAGTCTTGGCAGAGACCTCCATGAATATAAGACCGTGCTCCCTTGCAAACTGCTCTCCTTCCTCTGTGCTCACTGCCCTTTTGCGGGAAAGATCACACTTATTCCCAACCAGCATTATCGTCATATTTGCATTTGCATGCTGCCTTGCATCCTCTAGCCAGCTCGCTACATGGTTAAATGTCTCCCTCCTGCAAACAAAGAACAATATTGTGAGTGTCTCTAATTCACATATACAAATCTAGTTATTCTTCAGATATTTACTTCTTGAATGGAAGAATTTGTTCAACAGAGGCAGCTCAAGTGATTAGGCCAACTTGTAGTTACTACTAGACAAAAACAGGACCCTTTCATGGTCAAGTAAATTCTTGAAAGAAAAAAAAAAACAAAGAGGCTTGACCTTGTGATATCATAGACAAGCAAAGCCCCTGCACCAAGTCTATAGTAGGACCTTACGACAGACCTAAAGCGCTCTTGACCAGCCTGCAGTGCAATATCACAGACAAGGATAAGACTTTCAAGATTTCTTTTAAGTCTATTAAATGAGAGCATGAAAGATGATGGGGCAGGAATCAACACAGAAGAAAGTAAAATCAAGGAGTAAGGAGAGACAGAACCGTATCCCAGATCTGGAGTTTGATGGGTTTGTTGTCGATGTTGATCATCCTCGCCCCAAATTCAGCACCAATGGTTAGGTTATGCACCGGCTGAAACCTCTTGTCGGTGAACTGAAGCAGAAGGCATGATTTCCCAACTCCTGATATCATAATTTCGATACACAAATCAACCATCACAATCCTCCTATATCACTTAATGCTTGTTCATCTCAATTCCTAACGAACTAGATTAAGATCAATCGTTCTCTTTTAAAAACGATTAACGAACATATACAGGACAATTCTTACCAGTATCGCCGATGACGATATACTTAAAGAGATAATCGTAAGACATTGCAGTTAAAGAAAGCTAAATCCGCGATGAAGACGAGTAGAGAATCTTTTGGCGAGGGATGTATTCATATTTCAAACTATTTAGGGGTATTTAAATTGAAATCTATGGCGGGGTGTATTAGTTTAGTTTAATAAAATAAGATTAAATTAGTATGGTATTAATTAATACAATATACAATACTATTAAATATTTTAGAGAAAGAAATCAGAGATTTGAAAAATTAAAACTGACATTTTGTTTAAATTATATAATTTTTTTTTTCTACATAAATTATGGGAAAACTAAATCTAAACACTATAAAATATAGGCAAAAAAGTGGACATTTACACCTTTTTTAGCTTTTATCAAATTATAAATATATCTTATAATTCTGAAATAAATACTTTAAAAAACTGTCAAAAATTAAGAAAATTCAAAATAATAGTCGAGTACTTTAAAAACTCTCAAAAGTTCAGAAAATAAAATAATAATCACTTCCACCAATTTCAGAATTCAAAATAGAATATGTTTTCTATTGATTGCTCTCACATCAATATAATGGACGGTAGAATACAACTTTTAACGTTTATTCATTCATTAATCTGGATCGGTAGATGAATAAATATTTTGTTGTACTATTAATATTTTGATGGAAGGAAAATAGTGAAAATTAGATTTATAGTGAGCTGTATATGGTTTAAAAGGTAGATGAATGAATATTTAGTTATTCTTGATATACTATTAATAGTTTGATGTATTCATTCAAATGTCAAAATTATATAAATAAATAAACCTGATACATCTAAAATTATTAAATTATAAGTAGTTTTTTTAGATCTATACATAAAAGTTATTTTTTTATAAGACACTAGGGATGATCCACGAGAATGAATTTTACATCGGCATTACTAACGTGTTTAAAAGAAAATTTTAAGATATCAACTTTTGTAATTTAATTTTATGTTTCAAAAATATCATATGTATAATAATTAAATAAAAATTGTGGGAATAAGTCCCGCTACTTTCCATTCATTATGTTTTGTCCTGTCCCACAACGTCTCGTCCCATCCTGTTCCTTTCCGTCTTATCTCGTTCCTTCCTATCCTATCCCATTTCATCCCATTTCGTCTCATCATGTTCCACTCATTTTCCTTCCGTCCCGTCTCATTATTTATTGTTACGCTCTGTCCCGTCTCCTTCTTTCCCGTCATGTCCCATCTTGTTCCTTTCCATCATGTTTTTTTCATATTTCATCCCTGTCTCGTTTCATAAATATTATAAAACTAAATAGTTAAATTTTGTCAAAACTTTAAGTTTTAGATTTTGAAGATCAATACATAAGATTTTGTTTTATAAAAACTTTTCAAATTTTTGTTAAAACTAATATAGTAGTATACTAGTAGAGGACCCGCGCAAATAAGCGGTGTGATGTTGCGGTTTTGTGAAGAAAATCTAAATCTTAACCCGAGTCCGACCCAGAAACCCTAATCAAAATTTTTAAAAACCCTATCCTTTTTAATATGTTTAAACCCGAAAACCCTGAACCGAATAAAAAAAACTCGAAACTTTTTCACCCAAAACCCAAACCCGACCTAAAAACCCTAATAAAAAAATTAAAATACGAAAAAAAAATTAATATGTCTAAACCCTAAAACCCGAAATCCAAAAAATTCGGAAACCCTGAACTAAACCCAGAAATGCTCGAACCCAAAACCGAACAGAAATTTTCAAAAAAACCGGGACAGAAATCTACAATTTGATTTAAATTAGACGTATTTCTATTTCACTATTGGAAATTTTACAAATATTATTCGATCATATTCTATTGATTTGGTATTATCGATAGATTGTGTTAATTTTTCTTTTTTGCAGATTTTTTAAGAGCTGTCCTGTTTTCTAAACCATCGGTTTGTTTTAAGTTATTGTTCTTGTATCCAAACAATTTTTTTCATTTATTTTTCTATCCAAATAGATTTTTCTCTTATTCCTATATCCAAACAACTTTTTTTTTCTATTTATTATTCTATCCAAATAGATATTTCTTTTATTCTTGTATCCAAACATTAGAATGTACTTCTCAATCTTATTATATAAAGCTGGATGCGCGCGACGTGGTTGCGACACGTAGGATTTTTATAAAATTTAGGATTGCGACATGTGTCACTTTTAATGTTATGTCCGTTAAGATCGTGACATGTGTCTTAGAAAAAAAGGAAAAAAATAATAATTAAAAAAATAGATAAAGGAAAAAAAACGAAATTTTAATCTTTTATAGTTAAAAGAAAAAAAATATTTGTCATATCCTAATAGAAAAAGGTTTCCCATTCATCAAATTTATATTATCCAAACACATATAAGATTCAAATTAATGAAATAAATAAAATCCTATTAGTACATGAAATAGGTTAGGTAAACTAAATTTCCTATAACTGCATGGAATAAGTTACATGAACCCCTATAAAAAGAGAGTTAAAGTAGTCTTTTTTTCTCATGATTTTTATAACTCACAAAATTGCGATATGTGTTTATATTCCCATTATGAACAGGAAAAAAAATATATAATAAGCTATTGCGATTCAATTATGTGCTTCTATCTTTTGTATAATCTTTTCTCTCATAAAAAATCATGTATTTAAAATTCATGGTATCAATGAATAATATTTAACTCTATATTAGTTGGATAGAAATCAAAATTATTGTCGATACATGTATCTAACTCTATATCGGTTGGATAGAAATCAAAATTATTGTCGTTACATGTATTTGATCCGGTGAAGACATGTTAATTGGAAAAATGTTAAACAGATATAAAAACTAGAAAAATAATTAAAAAAAAACTAACTAATAATGAAAATGAAAATTTATAATGGTCTGAGTCAAAAACAAAATTGAGAAAGAAACAATATAAATAGAAAACTAACAAATTAATTATCAAGCAACTAACTAATATTAAGAAAATATAATGAACCGATATTCTAATTTTAAATAGTTTAATTTTCAATATTGTTAGGTAAAAAATTATTAAATAAAGATTTCATCAATTGAAATCTCTTGAATGGAATAATAAAGTTTTGTTGAATTAATTAATCAGTTGATCATATTTAGACATATATAAGTCTTTCTATATTGGATAAAAATAAAAATAAAACAAATTAATTCATTTTTCATATCATGAATTCAAAAAAAATATCAATTACAATAAAAACGTAAAAAGGTTACCGATCTTATTTTATTTAAATATTTTTATCGGGTTTTTAATATTATTCTGTTTACTTTAAAATGATCAAATTTGGTTTAATACTTTTCCATGATTTTATTACAAAATCTTAAAATAAACCCGCGTATACGCGGGTCTTAATCTAATTAGTTAATAATATAAAGATGATAATTATTATGATAATTTTTATGACAGTTATTAATTAAAATATAATAAAAGGGAATAAAATAAGTTTAATTAAATATGGAAGATTATTTTTCTAATGGACTATCCTGAACTATTATGGAATTATTTTTTTTTTCTTCCCAACTACACTATTACATTACAATGATATTTTTCATCTATACTATTAAAGTAGAGACACAACAAAAGAAAGTGCACTAACAAAGCGCCTATCCCTATAGCCAAACAAGATTTAACCAGTAATTAACTAAAAAATTAAGAAAAAAAACCCGACGCCTACAATTAAGAGAAATTTTATGAAATACACCTCTTTAGGTGCAAATTTTCAAAACTACACCTATAGTATGGAAATTTTCAAAAATACACTTTTCCCCAATTTTAATATATATGTTTGGGTTCACTAATACTATATTAGGGTTTAGATTTTGGGGTTTACGGTTTAGATTTAAAGGTTCAATGTTAGATTTTAGGATTTTGGATTTATATTTTAGGGTTTAGAGTTCTTTTACTAAATGAAAAAAGTGTAGTTTTGAAAATTTGCAACCATAGAGGTGTATTTTTGAAAATAGAGGTGTAGTTTTGAAATTTCCCCTACAATTAGACACGCGGATCTTTGGAAATCTAACTTAAATCAAACCGGAGCCACAACTCGATTTTCAGTACAAAACCGGCGACCAATTCAATTCGAATCCTGAAAATATCAAAAAAGGAAGCACGAAAAATCAGCAATTCCATAACTGACATCTTTCCTGTTAATGATTTAAGGGTAGATCCCAAACATGTCGCCTGCATTTAAAATAGCGAATACGCTACATTCCCGTTCTGTAAACAATATCAAAAACTTTCTAACATCTATACTTATTTTCCACGCAAAATTTAAGCAAATCTTCCCACAATCTAAGCTAACTAAAATATTCGCAATCTATTACTTTTAAATACCTCAAAAATTAATTCCGCAAAACCCTAGCACGTTCAAAACGGATCTATACTATAAATATATGCTCATTCAGCAGCACATCATAAGCAGTACACAGAATCATAAATACTATTACGAGAATGACTATTGGGTTCAACAAGAAAGTCACTGTTTCAAGGTGAAAAGGCAGAGAAACAGGTTCGTTTATAAAACCTTTTGACATTCAATAAGGGAAAAGAAACCGAGTTATGTTCTGTTTTTTCAAAAAAAATTATAGAAAATTAGCTAATGTTTTGCTACAGAGACATAGGAGTTAACACAAGTCAGACAATGGTTTACCTGTGATCATCAAGGAGCGAAAGAACATGGGTTTGGTGTTGGTACATCTTCCTGAAAATAAGAAGAGAAAAGGTTTAATCTTCCTAGCTCGAGGTGGAGTAGCAGCATATGATATTGTATGTTTAAGTTTATGATTTACCATTCCCAATGATCAGTTAATATTTTTTATTATCGTTAACATTTTTGTATTATAAATCTGTTTGGAATATGTCATGTTTACTTTGTTAATGTTAGTAGTCCTACTTTTGTGATTTTGAAATCAGACAGTTTGTTCCTATCGTTGGTGAATTTCCAAACCATTTCCGATGGGGTCACAACCATAACTTCTTGATTGGTAAGTCTTTTCAATTAAGGTGTGATTTAAGT